CAGCTCTGAATCCAGTTCTGTACTACTGTAGGATGAGAAGGTTCAGAGCGTGGAGTGACGCAGTGTTAACATTACCTTATTTGGGCATCACGTGGAGTGACGCAGTGTTAGCCTGCAGTGGATCAGCAAACAAGGAGGAGCAGAATGGTGTTAATAAGACAGGTGGTCATGAGACATCACCCTTGTGAGACATCACCCTTGTGAGACATCACCCTTGTGAGACATCACCCTTGTGAGACATCACCCTTGTGAGACATCACCCTTGTGAGACATCACCTTTGTGAGACATCACCCTTGTGAGACATCACCCTTGTGAGACATCACCCTTGTGAGACATCACCCTTGTGAGACATCACCCTTGTGAGACATCACCCTTGTGAGACATCACCCTTGTGAGACATCACCCTTGTGAGACATCACCCTTGTGAGACATCACCCTTGTGAGCCATCACCCTTGTGAGACATCACCCTTGTGAGACATCACCCTTGTGAGACATCACCCTTGTGAGACATCAAGGCTTCAGGTCTAGACATCAGGAGGTTAGCAGTGCAGATAAGGTGGGGAAATGATTGAGTACAGAAAGAACGATTGAAAAGTGTAGTGTTCAAAAAGGTGTTCAAGTCTTTTAAAAAAGGTAACTGTTTTTTTGTTAAAATTTTTTAAAGAAAAAGAAAATGGAGTAGAAGGGAATTAACTGTAGTTTTTGTTATTTTATTACAATTGTTATTTTATTACAATTGTTATTTTATTACAATTGATAATCACGGTGTAAATTATGTTTCTTTGAATGTGAGTTGTAACCGTTATCGTTTATTCATTGATAATGAAAGTTTTGTTCGTGGAAGATGGCATGACTGACCAGTATCAAATAGTTAAAGTTTCAATTGCCGAATTAAATCTATGAGTATTGCTGAAAGCACAGTGTAAGGCCTACACGGACCGCCTCTAACTAGCCAATCCCTGTTTACATGCCGTGTGTATGATATAAATATATTTGTTATTCATTATTGAAAGGTATTTGCTATTTATATTGGTGATTGTTTCATTAGGCTGTAAATTTCCGAGTGAAGTTGTACCTTATTTTATTTGAATACTGTCCTGCTCCATGATTTCCTATATTTTACGAACTTTTGTTGAATACATTTTATTTTTGTTATAATTTTTACATTTGATAACTTTTGAGGATCATACGAATTTTGCTTGATCATCTCAAATGTTTTGCTCTCATGATGTAGTTTTTTACGAAGATTTTAAGCCTCATATTGTTTGTTTTCCTTTGTGTCCAAATGCAACATGTCTTTAAGAACATTGTTTTTGTTTCTGTAGAACCTAAGATGTCCCTAAGTCCTCACTTGTTCCTCTCGAGTCTAAAACGAGGTAGTTATGTTCAGATCACATAGGGACCGTTCAAATATTACGTAAGCCAGGTTTTGACTTTTCAGACCCCCTCCCCTCGCTCCTCCAGAAGTGGCCTTTACACACAATTGCGTAATTATTTCAAAACCTCTTCCTCTAATCTGGCTTACGTTACATGATGTGAATCATCCTTCAAGAAATCACAACTTAGCCTGCGAATCGTTACTGTTTAGGCTTATTTCTATCAAAATTATTTTACTAAGTTACAAACCATGGTGTAGTTGGTAAAGGAAGGTAGCTCAGAGGTATTAAAACTCATTGATGCAATGCTGTTCTGTGACACCGCACTGTTCTGTGAAACCACACTGTTCTGTGACACCACACTGTTCTGAGAAACCATACTGTTCTGAGAAACCACACTGTTCTGAGAAACCACACTGTTCTGTGACACCACACTATTCTGAGACACCACACTGTTCTGTGACACCACACTATTCTGAGACACCACACTGTTCTGTGACACCACACTGTTCTGTGACACCACACTGTTCTGTGACACCACACTGTTCTGTGACACCACACTATTGTGAGACACTAAACTTCCAGCAACTAGGGTGGAACAACCACTACTCAGTGAGGACAGTTCTTGTACAATCACGTGACAATTATCCGGCAAAATGCCAAGCAAGTCAGGTGCGTTTGGTCGGTGAGGCGATATTTGGTCATTCTCCGAGCTCACATCAGAAGGGTTATTATAGCTGGAATGGTTTGGAACAGTCTGGAACGAGCTAGGACCGTCAGTAGGCCAGCTGTTTTCAGACGAGTTTAAGCTGCTGAACAAATCCTCGGTGTTAACTTCGCTGATAAAGCTGCTCGCACAACTCGGATAGTCACTCCCACTTGAGGGGTCCCTACGGTCTGAGAGAAACGGAGACAATGTGGTGGTGAGTCCACCGCGCCGTTCCGCACGTGGAGAAATGTGGTACTGTTCATGTTCAGCACGTGGAGAAATGTGGTACTGTTCATGTTCCGCACGTGGAGAAATGTGGTACTGTTCATGTTCAGCACGTGGAGAAATGTGGTACTGTTCATGTTCAGCACGTGGAGAAATGTGGTACTGTTCATGTTCAGCACGTGGAGAAATGGAGCTGTCTGAGTTGGTTACTTCGAATCTCAGCGAGGAATCCACTTTCAGTTGAAATGGTGAGCGAGAAAGCAGACTGTGCTGATTAGTTTTAGCAGTTCTTGACACCTTAGAATGAGAGTTCTCGGGTTTCTTAAAGTAAGAGTCCTCGCTGCTTTTTGAATTTTCCTTGTCGGCTGAGGAACTGGAGTCCTCATTTTTGAACTTTAAAAACTCGTCCCTTCTAGACTTTTCCTTGCCAGCTGATAATAGAGATGAGGAACTGTCGGAAGAGTCTTGATCCTTGATGACATGGATTGCTGCCGGAAACTCTGGAGATTTCGAGCTGGTCGGGTAAATTTTGTCCGAATCACTACTCGACATGTTAGGCGGTCTTGTAAAGCCCTCCTCTTGTCCCGATTTTTCAGGCTTCTTTTCGTAATCTTTTGATAATTTTGAATGTTTCATCGAACAAATCTTCTTGATCTCAGCGCACTTTCTGTCGGAGGTATAATGCGATATCTTGATGTCAGAGAGTAGAACATTCTTTAGATTCTTGTCAAGTGTAGAGTTATAAGCTGGCGAAGCAATTGGAGAACAACTGAAATTCAGAGATTTGACCAAAGTACCCATCTTCCAATCATTGTCAGTATTCTCAATGATATCATCCTGAACAGACTGACCAACCAGAGATTTCAGCAGCTGATACAGCACGACATTCTGTTTAGCATGAAGACTAGTCTCTAGAAGAGGCTGGGCGATGTTCAGGTGACTGACCTCCCTTTCAACTTGTAGTGAGGTCAGTAGGGGTACCAGCTCCGCGCACGTCACAGTACTGAATGTGAGACTTGGAGAAGATGTTTGAGTGGATGAGTTTGTGGTAGAGGAATCTGGTGGTAGTGTGGAAGTGAGGATACCATGATCTAGGGAGGCCATATCTTACATACCATAGCTTGTTGAAGCAAGCTGTTTGTTTTAATATCAAAACGGAACAAACGCACAAAAACTGGTCAGTTCCAAAATAAACACCGTTGAGACAGCATTTCGGGTCGCAATACATTCTACGCTGTACTGTGGAATACACTAGGAAAAGAACTAATTGATTAACGTAGTTTTATTGTTGTTACCTGGTAAGCTGTTAAAATGACATAACGCTGTAATGTTGTCAGGAAACATTTCTTAATTTGAATTTTAATAGTGAATATTACCCGGCAATAAAAATAAAACTGATATTTTAAAGCACTGTTGAATGAAATACAAGGCCAGGCTCTGACACCCTGACACTCTGACATTGTGCACTTTTATTTATCGTAGCAACTCTACAGAAACCAATTTTTTGGTTGGAATAAAATCTTATCGATCAAGTTGGATCAAATATAAAACTCCTGCTAAAACAAACTTTTCGTATCTCTTATATGCTTTAAAAACAAATCCCCTCCAGGTTGGATCAAATAGTTCATTTCGACTCTTCTTGAATCTTGATTTGGTATTGCATTGGTTAATAATAGCAATGGGTAATGGGTATTGTAAACCATTTTAAGCCAAAATATTCGTATTTTTAGGTTGTCTATTATGAATAGAGATTAGACACTAACGATAATGACACGCGACCTCGCTTGCAATAATGGCTTACTTCAAATAGTTGGCAAAAAACTGTTTGATTACACTTAAAACTGATTAAGAGTAGAATTAGAAGTGTATAAAATTAGACTTTATTTATTGATTTCTCTATACATGAATCTACCCAAGACCAGACTAAACAAACTTAGATCCACCCTTAATGGGGCAGTTCGTTTCATCTATAACATAGAAGACAGAACCACGGACTTTGGATGTAGCGGATAAAGAACTCTCAAACACCATGACCATGACCAGGTCGAAGAGACCTGGTGACCATCTCATGCTCAAGGTACCAAAGAATAAAAAGTCCAAAGTTGATGACAGACGTTTCTCAAGCCATGCACCGATTGCATGGAACTCTCTTCCACTGATGTTGAGATGTATTACTGATACCAACTGCTTCAAGCGAATGTTAAAGAACCATTTATATAATCAGTTTTGATGTTTTTTCTTTCCATTTGTCTTCATTTTTGCAAGACACCTTGGCTTTTATCTCTTACCGCACCCCATTTTATGTCTAAGTTCTCTACCTTTCTATGTCACTGTACTAACCTTTATTATACCTACATGTATTGTATGGTCTCTGCTTCTTTTTAGTTTAGTGTGGTTTAAAATAAAAGATGTTTTAATTTTGTCTTGGTCTTATATTAATATTACGTTATACTGTTCATTTTTACACATTTGCTCACATCACTCACAGTCAGCCGCTCTGACATGGTTAACCACCTTCCTTGTGTTGTTGGTTAATCATATGAGCGGGATATAAATACCTCATTTCATTTCATTTCATTTCATTATTTGTTTGTTCAACTGCGTTTTCCAAGGATGAAAACGCTCGTCAATCAAGATCAAAATATTTCTTTTCAAATACAAACACAATAAAAAAGAACGAATTCTGACCTGACGATTCTTCATAACATCGCTGATAGCAATGCCACAAATCTTATAACAGAAGTTCCTCATAATTTCCCGACCGTGAATAGTTAGGTCAACTTCAGGATGGAATTGAACACCGTATATTGCCTTTGTGTTGTGCTGAACGCCTGAATGTCATAGTGAGGTATAATTGTAGCGTTTGTGGTTGTCAATTGTAATCGCCATTTCTGCCATAAACTTTAGAAATATTCCAAATAAATCCTTTTCATTGATTTCCCTTTTCAAATAGCACGTGGAAATGAAACAATCGACTTCATTCAGCACGTACCTTGAATGTGACCGTCAGAGGTGGCAATGATTCTGAGGTCCGGGCCCAACTTAGTGATTCCATACCCGTGCGTTACCAAAACTTCCTGTTCCTCCTTCATACCACTGATGGGAGGTGATATTAAAGATGGAAAATAATCAAACTGAGCTAGGCAAAAATAAGATGGGGTAGTAAGATCTAGCTGATAGCTGAAATTGTACGGAAATTCTAATATCCATATTATTGACAGCTGAGATTTAGGAAATTTAAATAAATACGTTGATTACGAATTTCTTAAAATACCTAAATAACGGAGAAGATATGTCGACACTTATTCTAAACTGTCCATCTTCTCTTGCTTGGGTAGATTCAACGGTGGAACCAAACGCGGAAGCTATTATCTGAGGAGAAAGGGTGTTAAAATTCTGAAACAGGAGCAATGCTAAATCACTGATAACGATCTACTTACTCTGGTTCGACACGCACTACAGTTCGACAACTTAGGTTCACCAGATATCACCCCTGTCTAACTTAGGTCCGTGTCGGACTAGAGTCCAGGTAGCGCACTTTAGTTCGACAGAGTTGAACCTTAGGGTTTGTCGAACTACAGTACATGTGGAACTTGAGTACGTGTACCACTGATAACAGTCACTGGCGTTGAGTGTTCCCACTTTCCGTTCATCTTAAATTTTCAGATATCGTTGATTCAGTTGATTTAGTGAAATAAAGTATGACCATAATGACCGTTTCTGAATATCGAATGGTACGTGTGCTCATTAGTAATTACCGTGCGTAAATGCATGTTGTCTAGGTAAAATTGAACCGGTCCGATTCGTATTCGGTATGGTCTAAGTCTAGAGAGTTAATTATGAATCAGGATTTTTGGATCCAAATGGGAACCATGGAACAAAATGGGGACGAAAGTGAGACATGCGTTTGTAACCCTAATAATAACCCCAAAAATAATGACTCAGGTTCATGGAATGAGCGGAAATTATCGAAAATGAATGTTCTCCTGAAAATGCTCAGAATGGTTCAAAATTGGTCGAAAAGTGTTCGTGTTGATTCTAGGACCACTCCAGCCCAGTTTAGGAATCACTGCATGTCAAGAACCGACGTGAGGGTGGTAACAATTTTGTCCAAATAATCCTCCTGAGTAATGTTTTGGAATTTGTCCCCATTTGGTTTCAAATTTATGGATTCATCTACTCAGTCGACTAGAAACCATCGCGTCCAACTATTAAAACTATAACTGCGCGCGCGTTTACTATATATATAATACAATGCGCGCTTAATTTTTATGATTTCTAAACGGATTTTCATACATTATCGTCGCCGCGTGTACCAGAACACGACCTTTTTTAGCGCAACCGCCCAACCATTAATTCTAATTTTCAATCGGAAGTGGAACAAATTGGAGCTCCACCGCAATTAGATTCTGAATAAACGTCGAAACTTCATTACATCAAGGTTTAAGAAAATTGACAAAGTCAATGCTAATTTGGTTGTCAGTGTTTAAGACAGGATCCGAGCTATGACTCATTCAGTCACATACTAGATGGTCTTCCCAATGTCATCACCAAGAAAGGCTAGAAAGCAATGAAATACAAATTCCTAATTACTGCTCCAGGTTGCTCAACCGCAGCTAACATTAAACTCACAATACAAAACCACTAACGAACCTGATTCCCAAAGCAAATCCCCAGAATGGGAAAATCGAGTTTAAATACTGTTTCCTTGAGCTGGTCAGCAGTCTCAGCGGTCCCTACTCCTGGACCTCCACTGATTATTACACCCCTGAAATAAGAGGTCATTACAGTTCCTGACCGATACTTGAGCGGTCATTACTCATTACAGTTCCTGACCGATACTTGAGCGGTCGTTAAAGTTCCTGACCGATACTTGAGCGGTCGTTAAAGTTCCTGACCGATACTTGAGCGGTCGTTAAAGTTCCTGACCGATACTTGAGCGGTCGTTAAAGTTCCTGACCGATACTTGAGCGGTCGTTAAATTTCCTGACCGATACTTCTACTCTTCAATAACATTGACTATGTACTTATTGTCTTTAACTGGTATAGCGTTTATATAACCCGACAAGGACTGTTTTACCCATGATGACGTCACAGAGGTTGTTTTCATGGTATTCCTTGTAATTACTGGCCTTGCAATCATTTACCAAGTAAGCGGATAACGAGACAAGGAGATTTGTTCTGCCAATAATATGACGTATTTGTTTGTTATCGTTTAAGCACTGTCCAGAGATGTTAATAGGGTTCATTACTGATTTAAATACTTGAACAGTTCTAATGATGCCTTTAAGATGAATAAAGGGAGCATGATAGATAATATAGATTCACAGATTTCAGAGTTTTGCTTGAAATGAAAGTGATCGAAACAGCTTTTCGTTATTGTTGCTATTTTCGGCATGGCGAAACTGATGTATTATTATAAAGCTTATCGACCACTTCTTTGATAAAATTCGGATGACTTATGTCATTATAAAAATAGAGTTACACAAAATATTTGTGAATTCACTTCAAAGATTCCGAGTATTGAGATAATGTTTCAAATGTTGAGGTGAGAGGCAGAAATACAGTCTTTACTCCCAGTTCTTCTATTTTTCTGTTAATTACCTGAAATATTATATTATTATATTTTAGAACAGTTATTATTCGAGATTTTTATAAGAAATTGCTGGCTCCACTTTTCAACCGTTATTGAAATATTATTAGAATTAGAATTAGAATTTACAGAGCAGTACAATAAGAATAGTAAATAATTTAAAGAAACTTTAAGATAATGTTAAACAGATAAGAAACTACTATTATATTCTACAAACGTGACGTTCGCATGGTTCGCCAGACAATTACACTACAATAAAGTACAACACAGTGTACAGTATACAGCTTATAATGGTATAAATTCGTCCGATTGTTTTGAGAAGGATTATTTTTACAACCCCTAGATAAAATCCAGCAAACACTACAAAACATGATATGGAGTGGAAACTGGAAAGTATCCAAGTGGTAGAGCCACTGACATAAAATAGCACAAAACTAATTACAACACTACAAATCTAGTACATTTATTTAGTATTATGTAATGTGATGGAAACGTTTTAAGCGGGTAAAAGCCAGTCCAAACTCTGGCTCCATAACATAAAGGCCTCATTTTAATTTGTATTGAAAAGCCCCAATACATCATATTGGTTATGCAGTTCAAAATAAACATTTATGCCATGGATTTTGTTCATAAAATTACATATTTGACACCTAAATTCAACATCCTAACATTTTCAGATTAACTGGAAATTCGATTTACCGTGCCAAAGTTATGCTCCAAAATAAAGAACATATTTTAATCATAACCAGGATCAGGATCAACCGAACTTTAATTCATTTCATTTATCTGTTGCCTTTCTCGAAAGAGCAGACTAACTCCAGAACATACTGTTTAAACAGCTATATAGTGTTGGACTGTTGGTATCAATTCACTAATATGATATAGGCTTGCATTTATGTTTAAGCTCGAGTACATAATATAGGGTAGGTATTAGGTAATTTTTTTATTTTATTTGAAAATTCAATTAATCATTATATATATAAATCAAGCGTTACATTTCAGCCATGCAAAATTACAATGACATATTTTGATATACTAATTGATAAATGGTACTGCAATATAAGTTGCTTAATGCTTGGCCGGATGACAACTAACGAGAAAAATAAACTTGATTACATAATAATTAATTCGGCTGAACCAACACATAGCAAGAGCCACATTAACGTTGGGGCCGTCTAAATATATGGGTACACGTACTCAAGTTCGACACGTACTGTTCTTCGACACACCCTAAGGTTCGACTCTGTCGAACTAAAGTGCGCTACCTGGACTCAAGTTCGACACGTACTAAAGTTCGACAAGATAACTTCGACTGTCGAACTAAAGTTTTAAAATCTCAAGCAACGATCCTTTACGAGTTTACGAGCTTGAAATTTATTCGTTTGTTTGTTTTCCACTTGTCTCATGCTGTACAACTATGTGTGAATGTAATCTCTATAATCCATATCTATGAACATTTAATTGACCTCAGGCTCAATTGTTAGTTAGCAGAATTGTATACTTAGCAGAGAGATAAAAGACTATCGTGGTAACTCGTACTCCGTTTTATAGATCTAGATTGTAGAGTACGCTATATGAATATCTACCACGTAGTACGTACCACACTTTATACCTTTATATTATCACAAACAACTAATAACCGGGTACCGGTCTAGAGATTTGGCTGCTGAACCGGAAACATTCGGATGTCAATCTATTTTCCTGTTAGCTATCTACCAGAACCGAGTGGCAAACAGGAGAATTAAAACTATACTGAAAGGTTCTGGAATTTGTAACCGCTGGTTGCTGGATGTCAGAAAATTGTTTTATCTGCCATTGAACCCTGTGATCCTATGATGAGGACCCGGCAATAGCCGTTGGATCACAAGCAGAAAATATTTGCGTGTCGAACTAAATTATGCGAATCAATCGCTTGGCTCCACTAGTTTTGTCATTGTGATTCTGCTCACTAGTAATTTACCAGTGCAGTGGTCAATTCTGTTTTGGACGAACCATGTAATGATAGCCCTCATGATTCTGATATGGAGTTTAATAACCGGTCACATACACATGGGCACAATTATATCATCTCAACATGGTAAAAATATGTTAATCTTATCTGGTCGCCCAACAGAATATCATAACTATAACTAGTTTATTTAGCTGCAAACCCGTCATAAGTCGGGAACTGCTATAAAATTGATGATACTGTTTCGTTAAAAGACTCCATATATCAGAATAATTAGGGCTATCATTACCTGGTCCTTCCGTAACTGAATTAGCCACTGGCAAATTGTGGTATTAACTACAGTAAAACCCCGATTTACCACAAAACCCCGATATACCGCGGCTATCTCATTTCCCCCAAATAGGGCTTAACAGTTAACATGTAAAATGTAAACAAACAAAACCCCGATTTACCGCAAACCCCGATTTACCGTGGATGTTTCCGTCGCGTTCCCTAAACTCTGCAGTAAATCGGGGTTTAACTGTATCACGATCGCAACTATGGAGTAGAATCCTAATGACAAAACTAGTCGAGCCAAGTTAGCCATACCGGCCATTTGAACGCATTTAAGTTTAAATATAATTAATTTATACGCGTCCTAGAAACAATATATGAAAGTTGTAACCAAATTGGCTAAAGCAGTAAGCACTTCCAAGAAAATCAGTGTGATATCTTCCAGAAATACAGAAAATAAGTATGTGTTTCTCAGTCAGAGTGTTCATGTTGGGATACTATAGCTCCTCAGCCTGTTTTAATTGTCAAATAACCAGAGCTTATAGCCAGCTATACTGCCGATTCTCAGAAAAGGAAGTAAGTTACATCGTCGCCATTTCGAGATATTACGACTTTTGCGTTTTTGGGTTTTTCTCCGCTTTTTTTGCGTAAGATCGAAAGTAAACACATTGAGTTATATCAACAATTAGTCAAATTTTAATTTTTCAGAAAAATTAAAGCTTTCAGCCGTCCATATGCTTGGAAATAACAATTTTTATGCCAAATAATTGAGCTAATGTTTCATACTGGATAAACTTACTTCCTTTTCTGAGACAAATGTGACTTACTTCCTAGAAACTAAACATTCTCTTCGATTAACAGCTCAATAACTGCTCATATGTTTATGTTTAGTGACTAAAATACATCCGGTGTTTTTTGGAAATCAGCCAATAAATTTTTGTTGAGGCCTAAATGAAAATGTTGATCACTAACATAAGATTGAAATGTAATTTTACATCGATCCTGAAAATTTCATGCGAAAATATTGATCGGCAGTTAAGTTATGTTCTTTTTGGGAAATCGCTTTTTAAAATTCCGTTTTTAGCATGTTTTGATAGGAAGTAAGTCCAGCTAAAACTTCTTCCTATCAAAGATCATTTATCTCAGAAAAGGAAGTAAGTCCACGGACTTACTATCTCCGAAACTATTTGGGCAACACCGAACATAATGTTTCTCGACTGGTACTTACTTCCTTGAGAATTGCATGTAAAAACGATTCCTACATTAATTATATGTAGCTCATATGTAGAGAATTTTCTACTGAAAATTTTGATACCAATATTGCTATATTTCGAAAAATTGGACTTATTTCCTTTTCTGAAAAAACGGCAGTATAAGCCGGCTGTTACGATTGCAATCTTTTAGCAGCCGGCTAAAATGTCATGGTCACACTTTCATGGTCGCAATTTCATGGTTACACTGTCATGGTCACCATATCATGGTCACCATATCATGGTCACCATGTCATGGTCACAATGTTAAGGTCACAATGTTATGGTCACAATGTTGTGGTCACAATGTTATGGTCACAATTTCATGGTCACAATACTATGGTACAATATTATGGTCACAATATCATAGTCACAATATCATGGTCACAATATCATGGTCACATTGTCATGGTCACAATTTCTTGGTCACAATTTCTTGGTCACAATGCAATTACTCAAACAGATTATGGCAGATTAGATGGAAATGTTTGATAAAACTCATCACATGACATGAAACACATTCATTTCGGTTAAAACACAAAGAGTAGTACTGATTTTTTGATTTGATTTGAAACTTTTACAAAATAGCAAATATACAAATGTACAGCAAATCGAACAAACATATAAAATGGGCCGAAATGTATAAATGCTATAAAGCGTGGGTCAGTGAAACAAGTACAGAGGACAACTTTTAAAACACGAGGTTTATGGCCGCCCAAAGTCTCAATAACATCACCTCCACCTAGTAATAAAATTATGAAATATGAAGTGTGAAACAAATTATGAAATATGAAGTGTGAAACAATCAAGAAATAGCTCGTATATAAATTGTAAAATTGTCTCTCAAATACAGATAACGTCCGAAAACTATTAAGATACGCAATACTCATTCAAATACTGATCAGTGTCCGAGAGACATGAATTGCTTCACGGTGGTTTCTTATCACGGCTACAGACTTTCCCGTACCGGATATAGTGGTCGAGGTGAGTCTGTTCAACCCTCTTCTTCTTCAGGTCGGTAACCAGATGTTTCCTCGTTGCTCGTTCTTCGCTAGATCTATCTGGACAGATCCATACATTTTTGTGGGTCTCAACTAGCCTCAGTCTTCCTGTTTTCGTCAGAATCTGTTGAACCGCTGTAGAGCTTGGGACAGTGATCTTTACTGGTCGGATAGTCGTACTACCTGGCCTCTTCCTGCCGACTCTAGTCGCTTCGAAGTGAGGTTTCTCCCCAATCTCCTCCAGAACTGCGGTTACTAGCGCTGGAAGCTGTTCTCCCTCTTCTTCTTTCAACCCAAACACAATCAGGTTCTTGCTCCTGTCCTCCTCTGCAGCCACACTCTTCATCACCTTCTTCAGGATGTTACTGTTGCAGACCGTACCACTTGCACTGTTCTGTTGTACAGCTGCACTGTAGCTCTTAATCCCTGACTCCACCGTTGTTTGCACTGTCTTCTTAACCGACGTCTTAAACAACTCTAGTTCTTTGTCCTTCTGCACAAGCAGCTGGCCCTGCAGCCTGATCAACTTATCCTTGTCTTCTAACGCTTCCGTCTTCAAGAAATATATGATCTCCTCCATTTTAGCCATCTGGCATTCATGCCGTTGAACGAGGTCTATTGCTTCCACAAGCCGAAGTGCCAGATGCTTTTTATAGACAGTTGGAGCCATAAATATTTCTCTGTCCATATCTCCACAAATATCTCTGTCGTCGATTTTCAGTTCTTTTCCCAGCGTATTGAACCACTTAGTAACACTGTCCTTCAATTTTGTCTGTTCATCATACTCGAATCCTTGAATTTGGTCCAGAGATTGGGTCACCTTACGATCATCCTCCATAATGTACTTGTATAGGAATGTACAAGTACACACGCAAAATATTATTTGGTAACTGGAGAGTGGAGGATAAATAATTTAACTTTAGGATCTATATTATATTCTGTAGTGGTAAAGTGCAACTGGACAATAATTTAATATCAAAGTCTAATTTTAAACAGCAATTTGTCGCAAGATATTCTTAACAGTCATATATATATATAGAGTTCGTCTTGTAAATGATAAAGCAATTCAGGTATAAAATTTCTACCCAACTTACTTTGCCATATTGTGCGCCAGCGTCTATTATAAGAATTTGAGCATCACTCACATTGTTCATCTTCATCTATAGAAAGAAGTTTGTTAAAATAATGAGGGTAAAATAAAATGTTAGTTCATTAAAATTAAAAGTTAGTTGACTACTATGATGTGGAAGTGGCTATAAATGTATGGGTATATGGCTCAAATGACAGGCATCACAAAATGAAAGTCCGCATAAACCATATTGTAGCTCACAACAACAACAACAAGGGCAGGTCTGGCCCAGTGTTGGGATAGCCTGAGGTGCTCATCTCCTTTTCAGTAACGTAAGCCACCATGTGCCAATGCACTATACTAGTATACTAGCTGCAGGGGGTAAGTGTAACGAGCCAGAGAGTGTATATCACCAGCCGAAGCTGTACATTTTGAGAAAATGGGACAAACGTGTTCGTCGTTTTTTAGGTAACTTTCATCGCATAAACGGGGTTAATTTAGACATTTATGCATTATTATTGTCATACATGTCCTAAACATGATTAAAAGCATAAATTCGCCAACACTGATCTATAAACATCACTTTTTTCAGAATAACTGAAGTATTTTAGATTAGATTAGATTTTGAAATTGTTGCTTTAATCGATTTAAATACTTAAACACTATACTTCTGTATACTTCAGTGATTGGGCTGATGACTCCAGTGAAAGGGCTGGTGAATCTAGTGAAAGTGCTGGTGACAACGAGAAAGACCATAAACCAGGGATTCCTTCGGGATTTGTATTCTATGAGAAGCAGAAGGAGCTTAAAATTCTACGGATTAGATCTAAGTTCCATAATTCAATTACGCTCTTCTATAAAATAGTAAATGATTTGGTAAGTATATCTCTACCTGAATATATTACTGTTGTTGAAGCTGGAACAATGAGGTACACAAGGAGCACGGCGTCAGTAATTGAAGGACTTAACACCAGCACATATACCTGCTCTATTGTACCGAACTGCGATAGTTTCAGAAACAGCTTCTTTTATAGAACAATGCTTTTGTGGAATGCATTGCCAGCCTATGTTAGACAGATTGAGAAAGTTTCTATTTTCAAAACAAAGCTAACTGAATTTCTCTGGTCTTCTGACGTATGCTGGCCTGATTAGACGGCCCATCTTGGAATATTATATATTTTATTTAAATTTATTCGCACCTGCAGTAGAACGCGCCGTTTTTTCTTCTAATGTTCTATGAAACAATTAGCGCATCACGCAGTACGTGAAGGTCCATTGAGTGGTTAGATATATTGGTATATTATAATATATAATTATGTTATTTTGTTGTTATGTCGTGTAAGTTTGTGTAGTAGTGGCAAGAAGGTATCGTATAGATTTTAATTTGTTCTCTTAATTATTTATTAATGATTTTATGTAGGGTCGGCACCAATGTAATTATGGTTTTACCACCGTGTTTTGGTTCAGCCGAAATAAATTTTACTTAGATGTTTACATAATGTTTCTCACTCCAGCTGCAGTCTGGTAGTGTTGAGTCTCATGAATATTTTTCTAGCTCTCTTTTTCCATGTTTTTGCCTCACAGGAGATATTGTGGTCTTTCCTATTGAATATAACTGTAATACATTGATGTAAAGTTTATTTGAATTTTGAAATAAAAAATGTAAGATTATATCCAAAGTTGGGTGCTACTTGTGATGAATACATACGGTATCTAAAATTAAGCGTATAGCAAGCATATTTAACAATTTTTAAGCAATAATGTATTGCGAGCAGCTGTTCCTTAAATATCGCATAAAAATCATATAATTATAACACAAAACTAAAATTTTATTGGAATCTAGGTTAAACTAAGATAAAATTAATATCAGCCCCTTCGCCACTCTCAGCAGTCAACCAGGGCTCATAAAAGCTTAACAGCGCCTGGGTCCGTTCACCAACTGTGCTAATGTGAGTGGCGGTGTGGTAAAACCCATTTTAACAGCGTGAATATTCATCAAATATAAGCGCGCTAGCTGCTAGCATACTTGTATCATTTAATTTTTAATCAAATTTATTCGGATATATATTTATTGATTATGTATTGAATTGGTGATAAATAATAAAATTGTCTTTTCTCAAAAAAAATTGTCTTTTCTCAACTCTAGAAGGATGGGGTGGTAATACTCGGTCTGGCCGTCTGGAAGCCCATAGAATTCCAGTTCAGAAACAGAGTAAGGAGGTGCGGCTATTGATGAGAAGCCTCCTTAAAGTTTATTTGGGTTAGAAACGACATCTGGGTCCCTACCCTCGCACAAGATTATTTTCAATTTTCTTGTTGTGTTCCACAACTATCAAAAGCTATCGAATATTCGATATTTAAAAGTAGGGGTTGGTCAAAACGAAAATGTTGTAAAATTATTAACTGTATCGTAAACTGTATATTGAACGATACATTGATAAGGTAACGATATTAACACACCCAGTGTGCTTTAGTAAAAATATGCTTCCACAATATCAGAGTATTATAAGAAAAGTCGAATGTTCTTATTTGTAGCCGGTTAGTGAAACGTAATTCAAAACTCTGATCTGGTGATGTCCTTGTGTTGATATTTTAACGCCCTCACACTTTCATGTCTCAAACTCTATTAATTAAAAAAGGTTTTTTTCGTGATTTGTTCATTTTATTTTTTCCCTTTTCTAGTAGCTGCACTTGATGAATAGAAGGTGAACAGTGGATATTTTGAAAATGATATAACTAAACTGTATGCTTTGAATTATGCAATACATGAAAATTTTAAAGTAAAATACAATTTAAGTAAAATACAATTTTTATTTTCCACAGAAGAATCAATACATATTGAATTATAAATATCCGATAATTCCATTAATAATCATTAAAAGTTGCTTTGTCATTTGTAAAATCAAAAACAAAAAGCCGTACGCTGAACTGTGAACGCGCGCGGCGCCCTTTCTGCAGCTGCCTAGCTTCAAGCTTGTAGCCGCTAATATCAAAGCCGCCGCGCGCGCCCAGTGCTGGGGTGCATTCTCATTAACAATTAAACTTGGTCAAAGATAGTTATATACAATTCCTAAATTAAATCAATAATCATGTTAATATGAGTATTCAACACTACTCGACAACAAATATTTGCCGGCCAATCAACGATTCAGTCGCCGAAACAAAAATCAGATGTTTGCTTTTTCGTTTTGGGGACTGTTTGAACTTAGTACTATATCCGACTAATCATACTTTATAATGGTTAAAATACAAAGTAAAAAGATTTTCCTCGATGGGCCGGCATTCGCAACCGCGAAACGTTTTGAGTACGACAAACGTGAAACGATGACACCACCACCATTCGTTAATTAATAAGTCCATGGGTGACGGGATAAAGTTAAAGTAAGATGTGTAATTTCATATTGCCTATCACCTATCACCAAAGTTACTTTGCATATACTGCTTCTAGTTACACGATAGCGATCTCAGTTCCCAATAACGTGTGACCCAACAGAAGGGATTGTGGAAGGACACGTACATTTTTCATTAACACGTGCCCTGATCAGTGGCGTAACTTAGGGCCCCGCAGACCCCGCTGTGCGGGGGGGCGCCGTATAAGGGGGGCGCAATTTTCCTGAATTTTAGGCCCTTTCACTGAAAAAACGTCTTGTTTGTGTATTTCCCTGTCCGATTATGCGTTCGGTCGACGCGAAAAAAATATTTGGGGTACCCTTTTTTGCTTCAGGGGGGCGCAAGAAGCCTTAGGGGGGGGGGGGCGAGAAAAAAGTACCCGACTTTTTTTTTTTTATTTTATTTTTTTAGGGACACAAAAAATTTTAGGGGGGCGCTTTTCGTCACTGAGCGGGGGGGCGCCAACAGGCCAAGTTACGCCACTGGCCCTGATTACCCCCTCCGTTGAGCTACTATACGGGGAACGTTGACCGCCAGTCTGTAGTCAGATCGTTAATAAATTTTTTTTATAAATAAAACGCTGAGCATTTAAAATTTGCATAAATTCATTTATTTTAAACATTAATTATGCTACATAACTCTTGACTCTACACTCGATATTTGATAATTTTATTTATTAGAAGGTCCCCGACTGTTGTGTGTTGAAACCAATTAGAATCGATATATTTTCGGACACTGATTCCGAATCCCACACATGACATAGAAAAAATAAAAATGTTCCCCTAGTCGCACAACTCGATCAATCGGGATCAGTTTAGAATAATCATTTAGAGCCACCTAGAGAACCTGTTAAAAAATGCATAACAGTCGATTGACTGTTCTAAAAAGTTTATTCGATTATCTAACCATGTGCTTTTTTCTTCGAAACGGCGCGCGCTACTTTGAAGAAATTTAGATGAGTAACATTCGTCAAAACGTTTACTGTTTAGCATGTACTGTTTTACCGGCCTGGGGCGGGACCTCAGGAGTCAGGCTATTATGTTCATAAACAAATAGAGATTCGGCGGAATGACAGGCTGAGCGCCGCCCAGTAATTACTGTTATCTATATTATATTTTAAACTTGACGAAATTTCCCCGGCAACGGGGACATAGAAGAAAAAACACCGAAAATCGACCTCAAAATGACCCTCTGGTGAAGCCAAACCCAGCTTGCAAATGGAGTTGAAACCTCGCCATTTTTAGCAGGGTTGTAAAAAAGGATAGGAATAGGCTATAGCATTCTTAGAATTTTGATTTAGGCTTTAGATTTTTTATAATTAACGTCGGAAGTGAGGTTAAATAATCGTTAGAATAATGGCGTTATTTTAGCAAAGGTTTACTGCGCTGTTGCGTAGCAACGATAAAAATGCACGTGCGCGAGCAACCACAGATTAACAACGCGCGTTGTTATGCTGTATGCTACGTCATAATTTAAAAACTAGCTCACATTTACGCTCACGCTATGACTTTTTATAACTTTGTTTCTGATTGCAATATTTTGATGCAGTAAAAAGTATCGATACTTTTTTTTTCGATACTAAATTCGCTAGAGCTACACACAATGCTGACATTACGCCGCGCACACACAATCAACAAAAATATTGTTGTTTTCTAATTACGCAAATAACTTTGCGCAGTTAAACATTTTAATTGCCTGGCAATAATTCAA